GAACACTGTCTGTGTGACCCCTTATATCCCGTCTCCCTCTGGCTTCCGTCACAGCAGATGTGATTGTACGCACGGAACAGCCCCAGCTGGCAGGCATGCACGCTCCTTGTCCCCAGGTAGAGAAGAGTAACGACTCACATTGCTTCAAGCAGAGGAACCTCTCCCAGCCCTTCAGTCCCACAGAGCCTCGCCTGGGAGACACCATTCACTGGGTGAGGACTTGTACAACTTCAGCCAGCGTGCCTGGTGCCCGCGATGGGCTGACCAGAATGGAGAAAAGGCCTGGCTCCCGGCGAAGGGGAAGCGGCACCCAGGAGGATGCGTTCCCATGGCACACCTGTTTCTTCCTGCTCTCGGGCTTAGCTGGGTCCAGCAGGAACAGAAGCAAGAGCGCCAGGCACAGGCCTGTCCCCTCTTCCACCCTGGAGCTGACAGACAAAGCCAGCGGCAGGGCTTGGTCCCAGCCCTGTCTCCACTTGACAGGAGCTGTCTTCATCAGGAAGCCGCTGGGAGGCCCCTGCTTTAGGTGGTAGGTGGAGAGAGTTCCCAGGCCGAGCCCGGCAGCAGGCTCCCGGTTCTGCAGTATTCTCCGGGAGTTCAGAGGGCCCGGGGGCGAGTGGGGCAGGGGGAGCCGGGTGGAGCAAAGGGGAGGCGGGTGTTGGTAAACCCTCAAAGCTGAACTCAGTCAAATTCACACGGACTTTAAAGAAACATATGTCCTCTGGCACTTGCAGGAAAATACGGAGGAGCTTGGTTTGGGGCGGAAGCATGGCAAAGTGGCACAAACACAGGCTCCAAGCATTCCGAGCAGATGAGAGTCGCTGGGGGAGCTGGGTACGTCATTCCAGAGCCCTGAGCCAAGCAGACCTGGTAGCAGGTTGGTCGGCCAAGCCCAGGAAGCGGGGCTGGGGAAGGGCAGTGGCAGGGAGGCTCTCCACGTCTCCCGGGACGACGGAAAGAGGCAGGCGGAGGAAACCCGGCACCACCTGGCATCGTGCTACAGAGAAGGCAGACTCACTTTGGACTTTGGTTCCTTAATGATTTGATTAAATACACCCTGTACACATTGTCAATGGACAGCTTGCTGAGAGACAGCGTCCCTGTGAGGAGCACAGGAAGCCGGGGGATGAAGTAATACAGAAATTGCCCAGAAAGGTGCTTATGTCCCAGAGGAGTGAAATATAAAGGCTGGCTACGGTTACTACTGAGCACAGCCAGGCACAGCGGGGGGAAGAAAGCCAGGAACCCCAAGCGGCAAGGCTCACAAGGCCGCAGCGACGGCAACCTGCTCTGGAACCCCGGGATGTGCCGGGGCTGTGATTGCGGTGGTCCGGGGCTTCCCACAGACCCAGTTCAGGACAGCAGTCAGCAGAGCAAGAGCGGATGGTTCAGAACCGTGACTCAGAATCCAACCAGCACACTCCTCCTCCCAGGCTAAGGAATATCCCATTCCACCTTCAGGAAGCACAAGTCACTAAAGACATACCAAGCACCTGCTTTGTGTAAATAGTTCAATATGCGTTGCTGGAGTTAGTGAAAATGGAGCAAAGGAATTGCTGCTGACCATTAAGGGTTCTTTGAAGCCATAGAGAAGCCAAGGTCAGCACCTGCGGTAGTCAGGGGTTTACAAGGGGAAGCAATACAATATAGGACACTTCACTGTGAGATTATTGATAGCAGTCACCCAAAGAGTCATATACAAGAGAGTGCAGGAAATCTGTCCACACACT